AGAGAGAGAGAGAGAGAGAGAGAATCCCAAGCAGGCTCCACTGTTCAGCGTGGAGCCCGACACAGGACTGTATCTCACGAATATGAGATCGTGACCTGAGCCAGTATCAGGAGTTGGCTGCTTAGCCAACTGAGCCACCCAGGCGCCCCAGAAAGCTGGACTTTAGATGTTTCAGTGCCAGGTCTCCAGATCTCATTAGGCAGATCAAGAGTGGTTGTGCATGGATGTGAGGGGAGAGGCATTTGCCTTTCCTCGTCAATTCTCTGATCTACTGCAAGGCCTTTTCCTGTCCCTTATGCCCTTTCTCAGTTTCATCCTGAGCCAAATTATCCCTCACCAAGGAGGAGAGGTGGGTGGCTTGCTCCTTGCTTAGGAAGAATAACAACTACAAAGAATCGAACATTTGTTGTGCTCTGCTTTATAATCATAGTTTTTAACCCTCGTAGGAGTCCCGGAAAGTAGACATCATTATCTCCTTGGAAAGACAAGGAAACAGCTGTAGAGAAGTCACATACTATAAAGCAGGGGACATAGTAAAACAGCATTCGACTAAAGCACAGAACGATTCCTTATCTGTCTCTCCCCATTTTCTGTTTTTCATCTCCTTTTCTTTCCTTCCTGTCACTTACAGGGTTACATGGAACAAGATGTGTATAATATTCTGCTGCGAATCCTCAGCATACAGGAAGAGTGAGGCAGCCGGGGCCCTGAGGGGTGTGCGACTTCTTCTGATTTCTCTGTTGTGAGTTGTGGGTCAAGGGTGATGGGGGAAGCAGCCTGGAGAAAGGACTTGGGAAAGAAAAGAGAGGGAATTGGAGTCTCTTTTTGCCCCATGTGGTGGTGGCTGACATTAGGGAGCCCTGTGGGGTGTAGATCATTTGAAGCGAGGTCAGTTGAGAGGACACAATCTGCGGAATCACTGGGTAGAGGCGGGAGGCAGGGGGCAAGTAGACTGAAGGGGACCAACGTGGGATGGGGACCGAGACTTGTTGAGTAGCTCTCCTAAGGCCCCGGGCTAGAGACGCCAGGGAAAGACAGCCACGATGGCAGAGTGGCAGGGTGGGACTCTGTGAACCCCAGAATCTCTCCTTCACCTGCACATCATTCATTCAGAGGGTAGTCACCCCAGCTCTTCCTGCTGCCATTGTGCATCTTCTCCGGTCCAGGTAGATGACGTCCCTTTTAGCATCTTGGCGTGGGTGGGAGGAGGCTGAGGAGATGGAAATGTGTGCATTTCACTCCTGAATTTCTTCTTTCAGGGAGTAAGAGCATCCCTGGCTTCCAGAGGCTCCATCAGGCTTTGGAGGGTGGGGCCAGGCATGGGGATGGCATGGGTGGGGCTCCACATGACACTGTGGACCCCAGACCTGAGAACCTGAAGCCTGGAGTCGGCATGAGACCAGAGGAGATGCACGGAGGCCAGCTCTATGGAAAATAAAGCAGGAGGCGGTGTGGTGTTGGGTGTCCCTGCTTTCTCTGTTCAAAGGCGAGTGGGGGAAGGAAACTTTTTTTAAAAATCACAAATGGCCCCCAATTATGATCCATAGTAAGAAATACACTACATCGTGGCGCATCTAACCTGAAATAGTATTTACCCTTACTATTTTCTTTCTAGGATGTTCTCTGCTGTTATTCTCCACTGAAAAAAATATTGCTCAAAATACGTCCATCCGCCCATGGGTCAAGACCCACAGGTTGAAAAATAGCACTCTGTGAAAATGGAGATCGACACTCTTTCTCTTTCTCAAATCTGTCTCTAATCTTTTTTCTCTATCTTGTGATTCCTGCATCCACTATCTTTTTTTAAGGAGGAGAGACTGAGAGACCTGGAGTTTCTTCAAGATGTCGAATCTAAAATATTTGATGGTGTGTCAAACAGGGCTTCTAGATCTGAGGCACAGGGCTCACATGGTCCGTGTTCTTTGCCCAGGTACCAAGAGGGGTTAAAAGTCTGATTCCTGGGGAAGGGAGGAAGGGATACACAGAGCTGGCTTCTTCCCTCCAGTTCTGTTCTCAGACTGAAAACCGTGGATCTCTCTTGGCCACTTCCCGTGGGTCTCCTCCCCTTCGTGTCCCTCCACCAGCCAGACTGCTAGGTGTGGGAGAGGCAGCAAATTCCTCCCCAATCTGGAACTGCGTTTGGCCCCCTCCTTGGTCCTTCTCCCAGCCTACCCCCTGCTGGGTTAGGCTGGGTGGGAGGCCACGGTTTGGCAGTAAACAGCCTGCCTGGGTTGAGAGGAGAGCGTGGAGGGGCTGCTTCGAAGACAGGGGCCCACAGGGGGGCTGCAGGGCCTGGCTCCAGGGTTTGGGCCAGAAGAGAGCAGCGGGGTGTAGATCACATCCTAGAGAGGATGAGGGTCAGCTTTAGGATTTGTGCAAATGGGCACAGGACTGCTTTTGGGCGTGAAGAATGGAGACCGGAGGGGTTGATGGAGAAAGAGAGGGTACAGCTGCCAGAGGAAGAGCATCTGAAAGATTGAGTCCTTTCCATTAAGGGGAACAGAACCTCTCTTTTCTTTGAGTTACCAAAGAATCTCAAAGGACTGTTACAATCATTATTTATGGAGTGGTGGGAAGGGTGGGAAGAATGAAGAAACTGTTGAGAGAGAGGTGTCCAGACAGGGGGAGATGGTTTGGCTAAGTTCAAGTATGAGTCAGGAAGCAGCTTCGGTAATGGGAGCTGATCCCAGGATGGCTGAGTTATGGGAATGGTCAGTGATATGCTAACACAGGATGGAATGTTTCCAGCCCCTGGTCTTCCCAAATGGTGTCCCTCTGTACAACCCCATAAACTCTTACCCCAACGACCCCAGGCCCTGAAGTTTTCCTTGATTTCAAAAATAAATCTTTCTTTCCCAAAGTAACTCTAGTCCTAAGTTTGTCCCTATCCCTTCTAGGCTGTCTGCTGAATGGGGCTTAGGTAGGGACTTCTTACTCCTCTTTTTGCATCCCCCTTCTTCAGGCGTCAGATGTAGGGGTATATGGGTGAGAGTAGGTGAAGCTTGGTTGCCACGATAGGGTCAGACTGTTTCTTTGAATGCCTTCCGTCTGGAACTTGGTCTGGATTTGTAGTCTCCCTCCTCTGTCTGATAACATTAGTTCATTAAACTGACATTGAACGAGTCTACTACGGGCCAGGCTCAGAATAGAGTGAACATCTCAGAAAAGATTCTTGTCCTTACTGAGCTGGCATACAGGATCAAAATCGGGCATCCTGGTTCCTACTTTTCAGTTGTCCTGTAGGGATGCTGGAACTTCCAACCTCAAATTAACTATTTAAAAAAATTTTTTTTAACATTTATTATTTTGTTTTTGAGAGAGAGAAAGAGACACAGAGTGTGAGTGGGGGAGGGGCAGAGAGAGAGGGAGACACAGATCAGAGGCAGGCTTAACCGACCGAGCCATCCGGGTGTCCCTCAAATTAACTATTAAAGGAGATTCCTTCTTTAGGAAACCATTAGGATTCAAGGTATGGTTGAGTTTCTTTTTTTTCTTTTACATTTTTACAGCTTTAATGAGTTATAATTGACATTCAGTAAACTACACATACTTAAAGTGTACAATTTGATAAGTTTTGACATATGTGCACACCCATAACACCCATCACACAATCAGGATAATGAACATATGACTCCCAAAGAATCCTCCCTTCTCTTTTTTTTTTAAATTTTTTTTTTAACGTTTATTTTTGAGACAGACAGAGCACGAATGGGAGAGGGTCAGAGAGAGGGAGGCACAGAATCTGAAACAGGCTCCAGGCTCTGAGCTGTCAGCACAGAGCCCGACGCGGGGCTCGAACTCACGGATCATGAGATCATGACCTGAGCTGAAGTCGGAAGCTTAACCGACTGAGCCACCCAGGCGCCCCCCCCTTCTCTCTTTTTTAAAATTTTCCCCTCCAAATCACTGAAAATTCTAGAGGATACAAACTAGTCCATAGTAACTTTTTAAAAAAAGTTTATTTAGAGAGAGAGAGACAGCATGCGCAAGAGGGACAAGGACAGAGAGAGAGAGAGAGAGAAAGAGAATCCCAACCAGGCTCCACACTGTCAGTGCAGAGCTCAATGCGGGGCTTGAACTCCAGAACCATGACCTGAGCCGAAGTCAGTACTTAACAGACTGAGCCACCCAAGTGTCCCCATAGTAACTTTTGATCTATATGACTGAGCAGAACAAAAAATGAGCTCAGGGACTGATGAAGACTCAACTGTTCCAAGGGGCAGTTGGAATTTAGAACCAAGCACTTAAGCTTGAGTTCAGCTTGAGGTCTTACCATTGCTGGCAGCAAACAGCAGGGAAAGAACCTGAGTGTCAGGAGAGGGTGCACATCTTCCCTAAGAACGAAATCCACAAAGTAGTCGGTAATGGTCCAATTCAACAGGTATCTGGGGGATATTGGTAGGCTGGTACCTTGATTCTTGTGGTTTGGTTGGGTCTCATGGGAATGATTATACTGAAGGTTTAATCTAAATGAGAGGATTATTTATATTATTTATTAAAGTACTATTTTATGCCAATTATGGGTGTTTTTTGTTGTCTGTTTTAGAGACAGAGCAAGTGCGAGTAGGGGAGAGGAGCAGAGAGAGAATCCTAAGCAGGCTCCATGCTCAGGGTGGAGCCCAATGCGGGGCTCCATCTCATGACCCTGGGATCGTGACCCCAGCCAAAATCAGGAGTCTGACTCTTATCTGACTGAGCCTCGCTGCCGCCCCTTGCCAATTATAGGTTTAACTGTCTTGCTGCGGCTGCTAGACTGAGAGGTCCTGCAAGGCTTTTTATGTCCTCAGCACCTAACGACCTCTGAACAGCATTCAAATGTTTGTTGAACAAATGACATTGTCGCTTAGGTCCCAGCCAACTCACTATAATATGCTATGAGTTCCCCCAGTATCTAATTTGGGTAAATGGCCCTAAAATTGGTGCTTTCTTGGTACCTGCATGAGTGATTAGCTTGGTTGAGCATGGAAGTCTCTGAAAGGTCAGAGGCTTTGAAGAAGAGTAAGTAGTTTAGAGAGGGGAAGAGAGATGACTTTTTTGGGTAAGAAATCCTCCCCGCTGCTTACCTTCAGCTACACCAAGGGCGTGGGGTCTCTGGTGACAGTCTGCGTATTCGGGTAGGGGGTGAGGGGCTACAGGGAGAGTTAGGGCTCAGGTACACTTTGGGTTCTAGTAGCTCAGGCTTTCCCCCAGGGAGAAGAGTCTCGTTCCAAGTACAAACCTCTTTAAGCAGGCAGATCCCGGTCCCCCTCCGCCCCGGTCTTATTTGCAGCATGACTCCACCCCGGTACACCGGGGCAAGGGGTCAGAGCAACAGTGAGAAGGATGAGATTCAAGAAAGTCCTACCTTCGGATCCACTCACTCGAGGAGTTAATCTCTCCGCGCCCGCTGGGAGTCCCTCCCTCTCCCGCCTCAGACTCCGCCCCCTCCCTCAGTCTCGGCAGCCCTGGCGGGCTCGCTCCGGAGGGGGCGGCCCGAGCCCCAGTGCTGGGCCGGGCGGAGCTCCCGGCCGGGCGGAGCTGCGGCTGCAGCGTCCAGCTGCCGGACCGACCTCCAGCCTTGTAGACCGCGGGAGCGGCGCGGGGCCCCCTCCCCCCACCTCCCCAGCCCACCCTCCGAGCTTCCCGAGCCCCCTCCCCGCTCCCTGCAACTGTGCTGGTAAGTCCCGCTCATCGAACCAAACTTTTTGCTGCCGAGCCGGAGTCCTACGGCAGAACCACGAGCAACACTGCAGTTGGCTGGTGGAGGGGTGGGGGTAGGGGCGAAGTACTGAGAATAGCCGTCTGGAACTGAACTAGTCACAACTAGTCATAGCTTCTCCGGAATGGATCAGATCTCGCCCATTTCCCGAGTTGGTAGAACTCTTGACTTTAGCTGGTTAAACTTGTAGAGAGAGAGATGAGGGTATTCGCTCCAACTTCTTCACCCCTCCCCCATTTCTCTTAGATTTAGCAGTTCTCGATACTTTCCCTCCATATTTCAAGTAGTGTTGGCTCTCTAAAAGCTCACCCCTCCCAACTCTGGCGTGGCAGAGCCCCCTCCCCCAGGCACTTCGGGTCCGCCTCCTCTTCGGTACCCCCGGGAACCCCGCGATCTTTCAGGCTCCGCTCCCTCCGGTCTTGCACTGGGGCCAAAGACGTGCAGGGGCTGGGTCCAGCCGCGGAGGGAGGGGCTGAGGCTGGGGCCTGTCCGGAGCCGGGCGGGCGGGGCCGGGAAGGGGAGGTGTAAGGGGGCCGGACGGGGCGGAGCAGGCGGCATTTGCGGCCGGCGCCGGGGTGGAGAGTTGCGCGCCGGTCCCTGGGCCTGAGCTCGGGCTCGGGCTCCGGCGCCTGCGATGTCTCAAGATGGCGGAGCTGGGCGAATTAAAGGTACCGGCCCCCTCCCCCATCCCCATCTGGACTGAGCCCGGCGGAACGCCGAGTCAGGGGAGCGACCGAGACTGGGTGCTGAGGGCTCGGGAGGGGGCTGGAGACGTGGCGGGGACTGGCTGCTGGGGGTGGGAGAGAAGTGGGTGTGGGCGAGGACCGGGCTGCGGCGGGGCTCCGGGGGCGGGGCCGCGGGGCAGATGTCCCGTTCCTCATCGGTTTCACTCCTCTACGCCTCGGCCCGGCCCGAAGAAGCTTCGATTCACCCAGGCAGCACTCCTTCCCTCGGCCTCCGGGATGCTTCATTTACCCTCGATCCAGGTGCTCAGCTCACTTTGGCCTTCCCAGGGTCTCAGCCGCCTACTGGTGCTGCCAGGGCTCAGCAACCAGGAGGCCCAAAACTTCCATCCTCCGCCGCACCTCCCCGAGGAGCCTCCCCGTGCATCTATCTGCCCCCATCCCGTCCCCACATCTGCCCCTGCCTGTCGCATCTCCTGGCCTCGATCGGCTCGCCCCGTAAGCCTCTACAGCAGCTTTGCTATTCTCCCACCTCTGCCCTGCTGCCAAACCCGACTTCACACTGCCCGTCCCCGCCCCTGAGCCTTGCCCCAACAGCTGTAATTCCCTCGGCCCACTTACATCTGCCCGCATTTTCCCGCCTTGAGTTCTGCTTGCCTGGTCCCCGCCGAATCTACTTTCCACTTGTGCCATGTCTTCTCGCCACCAGCCCCTTCTCCTCTCACCCAGTTCTGTTTGACTGGCCTGCTGCCTGGGCCCAGATGGGGGCAGCCCCACCAGTTTCATCTTGAGATATCCCCGCAGGCGCGACGCCGAGTTTGTGCTCAGGATCATGCACCATGCTGCAATGCCGCCTGCCTCGAGCCTCAGCACCCGCCCTCACCAGTCTCTTCCTGGTCGCTCCTGCCTGCCTGACAGTCAGCTCTCGGCGTTCCCCCCTCCGCGGTTGACCAGCCCTGCAGCTCAGCTGTTTTGCCCAGATATGACTGAGGAGCTTGAAAGAGATCGTGGCTCAAAATGAAGAGGAGGGCCCGGCTTGGGAGGGCCGCCAGAGTTGGGAGGTGAGTTAGAGCTCCGCCATCTTGAGACATCGCAGGCAGGAGCGACCTAACGAAGAGAAATGGGGAGGTAGCGCGTTGAGCACTTACCTTCAAAGAAGCAGTTGCAGAGTTCGGCCAACTGGAAATGGCAGATCTGACTCCACCCCAGCGCCGGCGACAGCGACTAGTTCATGCCACCTGGCTCAGTACTCGCCCCTCACCACCTCCTTCCCGGCCCCACCAGCCACCCGGCAGGCTCGGTTCTGCCAGACCTGCCCAGCAAAGCTGTCAGCCTCCGCGTGGACCCCAGCCCCTGCTGCAGGAGCAGGGGCCCAGTGCAAAGCCTGAGGCCGGGAGGTGGGAGGCCTGCTGCTCATGGCCTGGGTTCCAGGGAGGTACCGAAGGCAGTTGACGCGGACATGCCTGGGACGCAGGGGCTCACCACGCCGTGGTTGGGAGGGGCTTTAGGTAAGAGCCAGCACTACTTGAAATATGGAGGAAAGTATCGAGAGCACTAAATCTAAGAGGGAGGAATTTGAAGAAGTTGGGCAGATACCACATAATCTCTACACAAGTTTAACCAGCTATGCTAAGTCAAGGAAGGTAAATGCTGCCAACTCGGGAGGCAGGATCTGATCCATTCCGAGGCATGACTAGTTGTGACTAGTTCAGTTTCCGGCTATTCTCATTTACTTCACCCCTACCCACCCTCCTGTCTGTGCAGTGGTGCTCGTGGTTCTGCCATGGAAGGTCGGCAGCAGAAAGTTTAGTTCGATGAGCAGGACACACCAGCACAGTTGCAGGGGCAGGGAGGCTCAGAGAAACTCGGAGGGTGAGAGGCTGGGGAGGTGGGGGGAGAGGGCCTGCCACTCCAGGATACAAGGCTGGAGGTCAGACCGGTCCGGCAGACGCTGCAGCCAGCTCCTGCGGCAGGAGCTCCGCCCGGCCGGGAGTCCAGCACTGGGCCCAGCACTTAGTGCCTGGCCCCTCCGGAGCGAGCCCGCCAGGGCTGCCGAGACTGAGGGAGGGGGCAGTCTGAGGCGGGAGGAGGGGACTCAGGCGGGCGCGGAGATTAACTCCTCGAGGTGAGTGGATCCGAAGGTAGGACTTTCTTGAATCTCATCCTTCTCACTGTTGCTCTGATTCCTTGCCCGGGTGCACCGGGGTGAGTCATGTAAATAAGACCGGGGCAGAGGGGACCGGGATCTGCCTGCTTAAAGAGGTTTGTACTTGGAACGAGCTCTTCTCCTGGGGAAAGCCTGGCTGAACCCAAAGTGTACCTGAGCCCTAACTCTCCTGGCCCCTCACCGAATACGCAGACTGTCACCAGAGACCCAATGCCCGCCCTTGGTGTAGCTGAAGGTAAGCAGCGGGGAGGATTTCTTACCCAAAAAGTCATCTCTCTTCCCTCTCAAACTACTTACTCTTCTTCAAAGCTCCTGACCTTTCAGAGACTTCACATGCTCAACCAAGCTAATCACTCATGCAGGTACCAAGAAAGCACCAATTTTAGGGCCATTTACCCAAATTAGATACTGGGGAACTCATAGCATATTATAGTGAGTTGGCTGGGACCTAAGCGACAATGTCATTTGTTCAACAAACATTTGAATGCTGTTCAGAGGTCGTTAGGTGCTGAGGACATAAAAAGCCTTGCAGGACCTCTCAGTCTATGGCCGCCAGCAAGACAGTTAAACCTATAATTGGCAAGGGGCGGCAGCAGGCTCCAGTCAGATAAGAGTCAGACTCCTGATTTTGGCTGGGGTCACGATCCCAGGGTCATGAGATGGAGCCCCGCATTCCACCCTGAGCAGACATTTGCTTAGGATTCTCTGCTCCTCTCCCTACTGCACTTGCTGCTCTGTCTCTAAAAACAGACAACAAAAAACACCCATACTTGGCATAAAATAGTACTTTAACAATAAATAATATAAATAATCCTCTCATTTTAGATTAAACCTTCAGTATAATTATTCCATGAGACCAACCAAACCACAGAAAAAAAAAAAAGAGAAGACAGAATCAAGGTACCAGCTAATATCCCCAGATACCTGTTGAATTGGACCATTACCGACTACTTTGTGGATTTCGTTCTTAGGGAAGATGCACCCTCTCCGACACTCAGGTTCTTTCCCTGCTGTTTGCTGCCAGCAATGGTAAGACCTCAAGCTGAACTCAAGCTTGGTGTTCTAAATTCCAACTGCCCCTTGGAACAGTTGAGTCTTCATCAGTCCCTAGGCTCATTTTTTGTTCTGCTCAGTCATATAGATCAAAAAAGTTACTATGGGGACACTTGGGTGGCTCAGTCTGTTGGCACCGACTCGCCAGGTCATGGTTCTGGAGTTCAAGCCCGCATTGAGCTCTGCACTGACAGTGTGGAGCCTGCTGGGAGATTCTCTTTCTCTCTCTCTCTCTGTCCTTGTCCTCTTGCTATGTTGCCTTCTCTCTAAATAAACTTTTTTAAAAAGTTACTATGGACTAGTTTGTATCTAGAATTTCAGTGATTTGGAGGAAATTTTAAAAAAGAGAAGGGGAAACCTGGGGTGGCTCAGTCGGTTAAGCTTCCACTTCAGCTCAGGTCATGATCTCATGATCCGTGAGTTCCGGAAACCTTGGCTGGCTCTGTGCTGACAGCTCAGAGCCTGGAGCCTGTTTCAGATTCTGTGCCTCCTCTCTGACCTCCATTCAGGTGCTCTGTCTGTCTCAAAAATAAAGCGTTAAAAAAAAATTTAAAAAAAAGAGAAGGGAGGATTCTTTGGGAGTCACATGTTCATTATCCTGATTGTGTGATGGGTGTTATGGGTGTGCACATATGTCAAAAACTTATCAAATTGTACACTTTAAGAGTATGTGTAGTTTACTGAATGTCAATTATAACTCATTAAAGCTGTAAAAAATGTAAAAGAAAAAAAGAAACTCAACCATACCTTGAATCCTAATGGTTTCTAAAGAAGGAATCCTTTAATAGTTAATTTGAGGACACCCGGATGGCTCGGTCGGTTAAGCCTGCCTCGTCTGTGTCTTTTCCCTCTCTGCCCTCCCCACTCACACACTCTGTCTCTTTCTCTCAAAAACAAAATAATAAATGTTAAAAAAAAAATTTTTTAAATAGTTAATTTGAGGTTGGAAGTTCCAGCATCCCTACAGGACAACTGAAAAGTAGGAACCAGGATGCCCGATTTTGATCCTGTATGCCAGCTCAGTAAGGACAAGAATCTTTTCTGAGATGTTCACTCTATTCTGAGCCCAGTCTATTAGGCAGCTATTCAGACCTGGCCCGTGAACTCGTTCAATGTCAGTTTAATGAACTAATGTTATCAGACAGAGGAGACTACAATCCAGACCAAGTTCCAGACGGAAGGCATTCCAAAGAAACAGTCTGACCTATCGTGGCAACCAAGCTTCACCTACTCTCACCCATATACCCCTACATCTGGCCTGAAGATGGAGGGATGCAAAAAAGAGGAGTAAGAAGTCCCTACCTAAGCCCCATTCAGCAGCCTAGAAGGACAGTCAGATAGGACAAACTTAGGACTAGAGTTACTTTGGGAAAGAAAGATTTATTTTTTGAAATCAAACTTCAAGGAAAACCAAGTGCGTTGGCCTGGGTCAAGCAAGAGGATTTATGGGGTTGTACAGAGGGACACCATTTGGGAAGACCAGGGGCTGGAAACATTCCATCCTGTGTTAGCATATCACTGACCATTCCCATAACTCTGCCATCCTGGGATCAGCTCCCATTACATCAAGCTGCTTCCATACTTGAACTTAGCCAAACCATCTCCCCTGTCTGGACACCCTCTCAACAGTTTCTTCATTCTTCCCACCCTTCCCACCACTCCATAAATAATGATTGTAACTTAGTCCTTTTTGAGATTCTTTGGTAACTCAAAGAAAAGAGAGGTTCTGTTCCCCTTAATGGAAAGGACTCAATCTTTCAGATGCCTTCCTCTGTACCTCTCTTTCTCCATCAACCCTCCGGTCTCATTCTTCACGCCCAAAAGTAGTCCTGTGCCCATTTGCACAAATCACAAGCTGGACCTCCTCATCCTCTCTAGGATGTGATCTACACCTGCTCTCTTCTGGCCCAAACCCTGGAGCCAGGCCCTGCAGCCCCCCCCCTGTAGGCCCCCCCCTGTCTTCAAGCAGCCCCTCCACGCTCTCCTCAACCCAGGCAGGCTGTTTACTGCCAAACCAGGAGCCTCCCACCCAGCCTAACCCAGCAGGGGGTAGGCTGGGAGAAGGACCAAGTAGCAGTTCAGATTGGGAGGAATTTGCTGCCTCTCCCACACCTAGCAGTCTGGCTGGTGGAGGGACACCTAAGGGAGGAGAGACACCCACGGGAAGTGGCCAAGAGATCCACGGTTTTCAGTCTGAGAACAGAACTGTGGAGGGAAGAAGCCAGCTCTGTGTATCCCTTCCTCCTTCCCAGGAATCAGACTTTTAACCCCTCACTCTTGGTACCTGGGCAGACCACGGACCATGTGAGCCCCATGCCTCAGATCTAGAAGCCCTGCTTGACACACCATCAAATATTTTAGATTCGACATCTTGAAGAAACTCCAGGTCCTCAGTCTCTCCTCCTTAAAAAAAGATAGTAAAGATGCAGGAATCACAAGATAGAGAAAAAAATTAGAGACAGATTTGAGAAAGAGAAAAGAGTGTCGATCTCCATTTTCACAGAGTGCTATTTTCAACCTGTGGTCTTGACCCATGGTAGGATGGGCGATGGACGTATTTTGAGCAATATTTTCAGTGGAGAATAACAGCAGAGAACATCTCTAGAAAGAAAATAGTAAGGAGGTAAATACTATTTCAGGTTAGATGCTCATACGATGTAGTGTATTTTTTCTTACTATGGATCATAATTGGGGGCCATTTGTGATTTTTTAAAAAAAAGTTTCCTTCCCCCCCACTGCCAGCCTTTGAACAGAGAAAGCAGGACACCCAACACCACACCGCCTCCTGCTTTATTTTCCCATAGAGCTGGCCTCCTGCATCTCCTCTGGTCTCATGCCGACTCCAGGCTTCAGGTTCTCAGGTCTGGGGTCCACAGTGTCATGTGGGAGCCCCACCCATGCCATCCCATGCCTCAAGCCCCACCCCTGTGCCTGATGGAGCCTCTGGAAGCCAGGGATGCCTTACCCTGAAAGAAGAAATTCAGGAGTGAAATGCATTTCCATCTCCTCAGCCTCCTCCCACCACGCCAAGATGCTAAAAGGACGCCATCTACCTGGAGAAGATGCACAATGGCAGCAGGAAGAGCTGGGGTGACTACCCCTCTGAATGAATGATGTGCAGGTGAAGGAGAGATTCTTGGGGTTCACAGAGAGTTCACCCTGCCACTCTGCCATCGTGGCTGTCTTTCCTGGCGCCTCTAGCCCGGGGCCTTAGGAGAGCACTCAGCAAGTCTCGGTCCCCATCCCACGTTGGTCCCTTCAGTCTGCCCCTACTTTCTGCTCTGCCTCCGCCTCTACCCAGTGATTCCGCAGATTGCGTCCTCTCAACTGACCTCGCTTCAAATGATCTACACCCCACAGGGCTCCCCTAATGTCAGCCACCACCATGGGGCAAGAGACTCCAATTCCCTCTCTTTTCTTTCCCAAGTCCTTTCTCCAGGCTGCTTCCCCATCACCCTTGACCCACAACTCACAACAGAAATCAGAAGAAGTCGCACACCCTCAGGGCCCCGGCTGCCTCACTCTTCCTGTATGCTGAGGATTCATGAGATATTATACACATCTTGTTCCATGTAACCTACTGTAAGTGACAGGAAGGAAAGAAAAGGAGATGAAAACAGAAAATGGGGAGAGACAGATAAGGAATGGTTCTGTGCTTTAGTCAGTGAATGCTGTTTTACTATATGTCCCCTGCTTTATAGTATGTGACTTCTCTACAGCTGTTTCTGTCTTTCAGGAGATAATGATGTCTACTCTCCGGGACTCCTACTCTGAGGGTTAAAAACTATGATTATAAAGCAGAGCACAACAAATGTTCGATTCTTTGTAGTTGTTATTCTTCCTAAGCAAGGAGCAAGCCACCCACCTCTCCTCCTTGGTGAGGGATAATTTGGCTCAGGATGAAACTGAGAAGGGCATAAGCCAGGAAAAGGCCTTTGCAGTAGATCAGGAGAATTGACGAGGAAAGGCAAATGCCTCCCCTCACATCCATGCACAACCACTCTTGATCTGCCTAATGAGATCTGGAGACCTGGCACTGAAAACATCTAAAGTCCAGCTTTCTGCAGAGCCTGGGTGGCTCCAGTTGGCTAAGCAGCCAACTCCCTGATACTGGCTCAGGTCACGTCTCTATTAGGTGAGATAGTCCTGTGTCGGGCTCCACGCTGAACAGTGAGCCTGCTTGGGATTCTCTCTCTCTCTCTCTCTCTCTCTCTGCACCCTCCCCTCAAAATAAATAAATAAACATAAACAAACAAACAAAGTCCAGCTTTACACAAATGACAGGTATGTGCAGGTAGGAGGAGGGACCCCAAATGCAATGCCCCCTGCCCGACTCTCTGTCCCTAGACCCTCCCGGGCTCACCTGAGCGGCATTCATCAGGTGCTTCCTATAGGCGGAGATGATCTCTTCATGGTTCTTCTGGGAATCCTGAGGTGAGCACCGTGAGAGATTTATGCACCTG